TCACAATACAGTGTTTCAAATTCTTTTGACGCACATGTACCATAAACGTACATGTACATGTACATGCATCCACAGTCTTAGATATTGTCTGGTTTTCTCACAAAGCCTAGCCTACCGGTAGTCCTTGTCCGAGACTACATGTATCTCGGAAGAGTAACTTCATGTACATTCTCACAGTGCTAATTGAAACGGATGAATTGTGACCCATCTGAAGTAAACAGAGCCGCTTACTAAGAAAAATGCCCTTGGCTCATGGGCTACCAACATGTGTATAAGCTACTGAAGGATTTTAGATACGACTGTTATTCTGGTTTATGGAGATTCATTGGCTCTGAAATCCAACCCTTGTTGGATTCTGTTGGATTGAAGATCCATTCTAATCTCATTCCATGCAAGACAATACCCGAACAGCTTGTCGCATTCAAAATGTTTCACCTTTTTCTAGAATCAAATGGTTGACAAATACTTTGGAACCACACATCAAAAAATGTGGTGGCCATGTTCTGTACAGTAATACACTGGTTGCATTAGGCTATCCTGGCAAAGTGACCGTAAAAGACAACTTTAAAACCACAATTTACATGTACCAAAAATGCGGCAATTTGGGGAGCCAGATGCACATATGCATTATTATTTGAAAGTGGCCAAAAACCCCCAACCAACATGGGTTCATCAGTGTGAAATATTCTAATTACCGGTATGTCTTGTCTTTAGCACACAAAAGTGTATAGATACCTTAGTCCCAATGTTGTATTTGCTTGATAACAAATTACATGTACATACACAACTGAACAAATTATTTTCAAGGCAACCTATGGCCATCATCCTAAACTTTCTTACCTTTGAAGTGGACACATATTAGTTATGCACACAATTATCCGTGTGATTTATTCAGCAATCTTGAATTAGGGGATTCCAAGTGAAAAAATGGTGCTGAGTTTGTATTGTGGCATTGATTGCAATATGAATTGGGCAGGAGTTGACTCTGAAGGCTGAGATGAGTGCTTTCACAAGGTAAATTATCTGAGATCAATGGCTGCCATTCATCACATGGCTCATGAACGAATCATCCTACATGAGTGTTGATGTTGCAGTGATGATAATGCAAACACAGTTCATTGAGGGAGTTGCTTTTTTTTTTTAATAATGTGAACACACTGTGTGAGATTTAACAACCGTTTCGGTGAATTTTACAAAGACATCCTTAACAGACAGCCATTTCTAAAAACCTTGGCCTTGTTTTTGGCTTTACTTAAATCCCTGATGTCAGAAATTCTGGCTGAATGTGACATGCCTTCTACAAGAGCATTCAACTGCATGTACACGACATGAACCTGAAACTGGCTGTCTTTTCATCTGGTCAAAACTTTAATACAACAGTTCCTGGGCCAAAGAGATAACAAACAAAAGAGGATATCAAGCATTTCAGAACAATTTTGGAGTCTGATATAGCTTGGATAATTTGAAATTCCAAAAACTTACTTGAAAACTGAAATTTGTATCACTTTTACAACATGTACATGTAGGTATGTAATATGCATATACTGTACATGTACTAGTGCCAGATATTACCCTTAATAAAAAAATCAAGGAAGTCTGGAACATGATCACTGTACATCAGCAAAGGCCTCTTGAAATGGTGGAAGCACTGTCCATTAAAGACCTTTCTTTTGTTTGCAAACACTGACTACCACCTTGTATGGACAGCCAAAAAAATCTACACAAAAATTCATCCTGGTTTGCCGCTAGTGTTTTCTTAAAAACGCACATACTTATGCTTTGTTCGTATTAGAGAGGATGCATTTTCATTTAGTGTCCTATGTCGCTTTAATAATTGAGTTTATTAGTAGCTGTGAGAGATTGGTTAACACTTTGTGAATTACTTGTTTGGTGCGACGGGCAGCCATAGCCCCAATTGTTTGCAACCACTGATTGCCAAAGACAGCAGCTGTGACTTGCAGTGGACAAGAAGCAAAAGAAAGGCTTATGACACAAAACAAAACTGGCCCTTGCACGTTTTTTCCCAAACAACTGCAAGCACCATATCTTTTCCATTACTGGGAACCTTTCTGAGTGTTATGTGAAGTACGTTGAAAAAAAGATTAATTACTGTTGGTATGTCAGGTTTTCGTGCCACAAAAACTTGAAAGATGTATACAATGTAGCTACCATAAGTGCAACCAATACTAATCTGTCCATTTTGAATGGAAATAAATACAGTGATCCAGTTTTGAGGGTGCTTGTGCATCCAATGTACAATACATACATGTACAATACAAATGTATACAAAAAAGGAAGAAATATGAACAGTTCTTCAGCAACTGAAGCACCATTAGTCCTCTCCGTTTTTTGTTTCTTTTTATTTTTTTTATTTTAAAATCCAGACAAAATAATTGCGCATCTTCAAACGCAACTTCACTGCAGCTTTATAATACAAATACGTGTGTTCAGCTTAAACAAAAGGTATCTCGTGAGCCCAAGGTACACCAATCCAAACAGGCTAAATATTTAAACGCCCACAAGACGGTGCCTTTGGAAATGTCAAGAGGAAAAGATGACCCCATTAAGATCACGCTTCCCATGAAACTCAAAACCTTTTGGATTATTAATAGAGACCAACAGAAGAAATGACTAGAATTTTTACAATGTCCTGGTGATTATGATGCTGGAAACATTTGTTGGAGTTTTAAGGCCAAGTATTCATCTGAAAAGACAACAATCGAGTAAATGACATGCCAAATTTCTCACAGCAACCATTGTGGCAATGCTTCTGAACAGGCTCTGAATGCCAGTTGGGCATTACCCACACTTCCAGCATTATGAATTATTTAAGTCTCTTCAGTCCGATGAACTTTGCGATGGAAATGCAATGCAACACAGAAAACGCACTCCATGAAACTGGTGCTCATGGTTTCCAAAGTATGAAACATGTTGTGATTTGAAGTGGATATGAAGTGGTTTCCAGATAATGAATAAGGGGAAGGAACAACATTAATTTTGTTACTTCAGCAGCAGAGCATACAGTCACGTAGAATCCTGAAGTAGCCATTTCTTAGGAATGTACAATGGACCAGTATCTAAATATTTTCGAATGTATCTACATGTACCTGTATGCTGTGTACACTCAATTGCAATACATGCAATGTAATCTTACCTTGTACAAGAAAGGAAGGTTGCAAAATACACTCTGCTTCAAAAGTCAAGATGGATTATGCTCTCCCCACCCCCCCCAACAAAAAGGACTACATGTATAAATGTCGGGAAATAATTAAGGCACCAATTTAACCAAACTAAAACCTGTGGTACACCATGCTTTCGAGCCTGATTACTGATCATTGTAAACTACATGGGGATAAGTACATGTAAGATCATCAAACAAGCTCTATCATCAATACTGGTGTTCCATCTGAAAAGGCACGGACAAAAGAGCTCCAGCCAGATAAAGGTTAATGACATTCTCCTGGCAATTAGTTTGTTTCAACTACTCTGGACACGGTTAATCAATCCAGGACAGTACTGGTTTCCTTTTGTTGTTAAAAAATACATAAGGCTGTATGTTATATCCAACATTTACCAACATTTCTACTTCCACTTTTAATCAAAGGCATAAAATGTTAATTTGTTGATGCAAGACGAATCTGAATGTGATACTTTTGATGAATTTTCATCTTTTTGACATAACATTTAAGACTTATGTTATCAAGAATGACATTGTACACAAGACTGTGTACCTTAATCTTCATTTATCAACAGTTCACAAATGAAATAAATCTGCAACTCTTCAAAGGCTTACCGGTAGATGATATCAAAATAGTTTGTAGCCAAGGACCAGCTGGACCACCTTAAACGTTTCTCCATCCAACGACAACATTTTCTGTGTCTAACAACTTGTCCCAAGTGCATCTAAAACTTCACAAAGTAAACTTTTATGAAGTCTCCTGCAAGGTCTATCACTAGACTACAAAACATTGAGACCACTTTTGGTGTTTGCCCGTGTTCCAGCAGAAGTCCCATTGAGTACAACTTCTTCCCTTCTTTCAATGTTTCAGGTTTGTTCCTCCTACCATGCTCCAAAAAAACTTTTCCACAGTTCACCATTTCTGGCATGAATTTATTTTGTTTCAACATACTTTAAATCATAACTTTTCATTCCTTCATTTTGCATACATTTCACAGTGCCTGAATTATTTCAACTTGCCCTCATTAACACTAAAGGAGCCATTTTGTTGAGTCAAAACAAACTTTTATTACACGTACATGTAAATTGAGTACATCGACACCGCATAACTACTATTCCCATTGCAAAACATTTTTCCCTTCAGTTATAAATGCAGAAAACTTGACAACTAAAGGTACATACACACATGCACTGTTTAGACATACTGTACATGTACAGTAAGTACATGTACATTTACATGATCATGCACAAGTACATGTACTGACAAAATTGGTCCAGTAAGGTTCTAAGGAGGCCTTTTAGAATTTATTTTGCTTTGGTAATTGGTTTGTCATTCCTGTTCTGTTTTGGTTTTAGTTCGTTTTATTAATTTATTTTGGGGGTTTGTATTTTGTTAATTTTTTTTGGTGAGAAAAGTCCTTTGAACCTACAGCTAATTGCCATCATTGACAGGTCATTGACAGGACAGTTAACAGAGGTTATGCACTGCTGGTGTCTTCATGGCGTCTCAGTGGCTGTTTTTGTTATTTAAATTTAATTACAACGAAAGGGTTTACTTGAGCCTATCGCAGTGAAACAATGCTCTTCCCCTCTGAGGACGTGTTAACACATAACCTCCATCCTCTGTTTATGGTGCCAACCTATGGTACAAAGTTCTTTGATGATAAAAAGCTGGTCTGGCAGAAAAGGGGAATTGTGAGGTAGATTTGGGACAGGAAAATATATGTGAAATACCAGTACTTACCAAAAGCTTACAAGGGATTTCTGAGTGACGCTTACATATTAGTAAAGACTTTGAGAAAGAAATAAAACTGAAGATTACCTCAATTGTCTGTAAATCAATGGGTGTCAGTTCCTGCGACTGTTCCTGAACCCCTCCCTCATCCTGCGCGTCACCTTCTGTTGACCCTTGTCTGTGTTTGTGTTTCTTCCTCCTGTCGGACCCGCCGTGGAGCTGTCTCTGTGCTTTGGGGGGCAGCACTCCATTCTGGAGGCTGGGGTTCGTTTTGGGACCAGTTGCGCTTGGCTCAGGCATGGTTAAAATCCTCTTTAGGCACTTGTGGTAAACAAGTTGTTTACTCCAATGGCATACCAAAAATACTTGCCAGATGTAATCACATGTACAAGTATTGTTAACTTAATAAATGTTGGTTTTACAGGTCATTCCATTGAAAGGATAGTTTCATTAACATTCAAATGAAAGTATATTCACCAAACACAAATACATGTACTCTCCGGTCTTACAAACAGGTGTTTTCTGATAATTGTCCGGCAATCATTCCTGATTATTTCACACAGTGTAGTCATGCCACTATTATGATCCAATTAGATCCAAGGGCAAATGCCCATGCCAGACGCCACGGCTGCTGGTTGAATTTTGCCCAAAGTTGGCAACGGCACAATCATGGGATTCCGCTCATCTTGCCACACATGGAGAAAAGCCAGAAATCCAAGCCGACCGCAGCTACATGTACCTGTACAGGTGATATTCCACCGCATCGTAAGAGGAAGGTGTGAACTTTTCTTTGCTTAGTTGGTGTGCTTCAATTACAAAATCAAATCCACGACACTTTCATACTTTGGTGAGGAATTCGTGTTTCTAAGAATGGCACAGGATGTCGACACACCATGTTGGCATCATTAAAATATACCAGTGGTTAATCTCGTGCGTGTGTACTACAAACAGGACTGATGTAAGTAACTGTTGTGAGAACCGTGGATGACAGGTGCCCCGCCCCTTGTTGACTGATGGTTCCCTAGTCAACCAATCCTCAGTCAAGGTTGCTCCTTATGCAGTCAACACACACAGATGCACATCATCCTGAAGATATTAACATCTGCCACACGTTGATGCCTTTTGAAAACTCATTATCATCATCATCATCATCGCTCCCATGCTATCCATGCTTGCCTCTCACCGGGGCTTTCATTATTCATGGTCTTAGCTCTACAGCACCTTGTTCATTATTCATGAGGAGGGGTCCTGACAGGTATGAGATCACACCTGGGTTCCGCAGGACTTGTGTTAGCAACGGCAATTGAATATCACTTGTGCGAATCCAGGCTTTTAACGACATGCAGCAAAGAAGTTAATTAGTCAAGGGCAGTGGGACCAGCTGCAGGCTACCGACCTCTCCATCTTGAGGATGCTGGGAAAGCATCATCCAAAATGAGGAACAGGAAGGGGAGGACTGAGAATGGGGGCCTTGTCACCGAAGAGGTGTCACTATCAGTGAAACAAAGCAACATCCCATGGCAAAAGCAAGTACAGTGTACCGGTACATGTATCCTCTTGCAAGTAAATGAGGACTTATACAAAATACCGGTGGGTGCAAATCAGTTGTGTGATGCCACACAGGTTTGTAAAACTGACCAAAAAAGCTGTCAAGAAAACCAAGTGCTGAAATTGAACTAAAGACAAGGTCTACCTACTAGTCAAAATATTCCTCAACCGGCTGTTGTATCACAGCAACGTCTCCTGGGCTTTCAACGGAAAGGCTTAGTCCGATTTCAACACAGAATTATCTGTATTGGTCACCAGTGATCGCTACTTTGAGAGAGATGAAGAGCATTATCAAGTTAAGAAGGAAGCAGACAACCTTGACATTTGTCAGCACTGGAGTGATCAAATGTAAGAAGATCAAACCAAAGAAATAAAAACAAAGGCATGGCAGCCAGGCGTCTAAGTTATCACAGAGATGGCAAGTACCGAAGGTGATCCAAAGAGCTACTGTTATCCTTAGATGGTGTATGAATGGACTTCAACACCAGCACCTTCAAGACATCAAGCTGTGGCAAACCCCTAGGTCAGCTGCTCCCAGACAAAAATGCCTATATACCAAAGCAGTGGTAGCACTGCAGCTAGCCCCAAGTCTGAACTCTCGTTACTGTTTGCTGCTCACCAGCAATGCTTCAGTTTCACGATTAAACAACACTGGGGCCTCTGAAGGACCCGTTCAGAACTGGGGTCTTTCATTTCTCTCGTGTTATGAGAAACTATTAAACCATGCCAAGCTTGTCTGGGGAAAGAGCATCACCTGTCCTTTTGCATTACAAGTATATCTGCCGCTCACGAACCAAAGCTGCTTGTGACGTGAACGTCACTTAACAGAACCAGCAAAGATTTCCTCTACACCAGCATGGGCCAATGGTAATTCTTCTCGCCAACGAACCGCCGTTGCCCGAGAAACCGGCAGGCAGATCAGTCGTGCACTACTGCACCAGACAATTAATAGTTGGCATGGGAAGATACGCACCGTCTAATTAGCAACTGGAAGCTGACTTACCATAGTAAGAAGAGAACAAAGTGGGAATGCATGCCTTCACTACAACAAAACAACACAACCAATCCATTTGATGGATTAGACAACAGACACTGGAGGTCAAACTCTCTAATTAAAGAACTTCTTAGTTTTTCTCCATTTTACAATTATAAGCGAGACATGTCTCATGTTTATCACGTGGCAAAGAGCTGTCTTGGATTTTTTTTTTGGTTATGTTTAGTTTGCTCTTTTTATAAGGTGTACATTTGTAGATGATATTAGAGTATTTCTGTATGCTGTTATAAACAACTGCCTATTGAACACACATTTTTAAGATAACATTGCCTGACACCTAATTAAGTCCTAATGACGTCACACTATTTTTTACAACACACACCACATTTTGATTGCATACACAGATATGGTCTTAGTCTCTTAAGGGGGCAACTATGATAGTGTTATGTGACACATGAATGACTCAACATGATGTCACAACTTTTACCCCTACACTATCTGCCAATAACTAGAGTGCCACTCAAACTATCACACTGAGCGTATTGGGCAGGACACTGGTCTGCTGAGCGTTGCACCTTTAATGACACAAGAATGCAATCATGATGCCCACTGTCATTTTTTTCACAAAGGTGTTGCAAATGTTTCCCACTGTAAATGGACTAACTCTTAAATTGCATCTGATATTTGGTATTCACCAGTGAAATGGGCATTTGTAAGGTGATGTCATGTGACATTCAATAATGTTAGCTTAACGTTCTTGTATGAGATGCACGTGAGCTGAAAGAACTTGAAATCTGTGAAATGTCAAGAAGATTTGAGTTGAAGTACATGTCATGTCAAATGTTGTGAACAGAGAAAATGCGATAAATATTCAAAAATATCAATGAAAAATTGATGGATGATAACATATATTTCTCTAAGAGGTTTAGAGTTGGATTAAAAAAAACAAAGCTTTTTCAGTCTGTGACCATAACAACTAATTACTAGACCATTTGAAGGATGAGGCTTCAATTGAGGATCCTGCCAAATGATGGATCAATGAGCTCTCCACCCAAGCAGTGTTAAAATGTAATGGTAAGTCAACAATTCCGCGAAGATTATTCAATTATACACATTCTCAGCAAAAGGCTAACTACTTGTAAATTCTACTGCTTTACTGTTTGACACCTTGGCCGAGTATTCAAAACAAGCACCTCAACTTCACTCTTTATCTGTGACCCCCCCTAACATTCTTTTAAATCTCCTTGGAAGAATTTAGCATATCTTCTGGGCTTCAGGAAAGTGGAGCCTGTTATTTCACAGGTACAAAAAAAGTATATGTAATGTGGTATTTGTTTTTCTGCCTGGTGGGGGATTTTACAGAAAGTTTAGATAAAATAATGTACCTCTAAACAATCCAAGCATCATCAAGCACTTAGATTTAACCATGGTATTAGTGTTAATTGCCTTTGAGCCAGTTTACGCATACTGTGGCTCTTCCATTGGATGCTCTTATCTTCCTGTACTTCCCTTGTACGTCTCTGAGGAATTGATCCATCCCAGCCGCAATGGACACCGTCAATTCTTCTTGCCTGAAATCAAAATCTGAAAGGGCAATCGCCCTACATCTTATTGGTTTGACAGACCCAGGGAAAGCAATGCAGTAACCTTAATGGCATCCTCAAGGTACCCGGTAGATTGATACATCACATTTAGAGGTTGGCGAATGTGCACATGGACGCTACGTAGATACATGTATAAATTTCCTGGAACTGTAACACCTGTCGGGCACCTGTTTGCACTTAGTGCACATGTCACCATATGTTCGCATTTTCCTTGGTGATGTATGATATGCAAATTTGTTTCACACTTTCCTCCTTTTTTACTTTTTCTGTTAATTTTTCTGTCTGCAAACGAAGATCTGGCTGAGTTTCTCCTTGGTCTAACACATGCTTCTCACTTGAAAAAAAAATAAAACATACAGTACATATACCGGATGCAGGTGTCAGAATGGTGTTTCCCACTATCGCTAATATTTTCAAAGATTTGTACATGCACTCATCAATTCATACGAAAAAGACAGCCATTAACTCAAAATCATTCTGTAGCACGACATGGAATATCGCTGATGGAAAAAAATGTTATCGTCCCCGTCTTTGTGTATGAACAATTGTAATTCTTCCTTCTGATTTGTTCAATTCTCCCATTGTTGAAAAAAAAAATTCCCTTTCCTCCTTTTGCTATTAGCAACACAGAAATACTTGAGAAAATTAGGGCCCTCTCTCCGAGCTCTCAATTACTTTTATTGAGGGAGATGCATTTTATGCTGATTTACATAATGCTCTCCCGACCAACACACGCAGACATGTTATACGAGTTCTTCCTCCAGTCAATTTGTTCAGGTGTGAAGCGATGGATTAAGTTCTGCGGCTAGGCAGCAGAGAGTCACCTGGCAACATTTGGTAAAGCCAGCAAACAGCTGGTTCTCTCAACTGCCGCAACGGCAAGACAGAATGAGGCTGTGTGTTGTTAACACGTATATTTACACACATGTACATGTATCTGTATATGTACATTTAATCCATGCTGAATATTACAAATATCATATGCACACTGTAGCAACAAAAAGAATGTAACAAACTTTATTTGGATGCGGTTTGTCAATACTCTCGCAAACACGATCAATGGTCAGGTATGGGAAAAAATCAAGACAGTTTAGGCTATCAAAATAAATCCTTAACCCATTCGCACCGGGAGGCGGCTATAGCCGCCGTAAAAATTGAGATCCTCAGCCCACTTTTCAGCTATTATTCTTGGCCCACGCTCGAGTGAATACGGTGAAAGAAGGCAGACCCTGGCTCTCGTGTATATGGTAATTGGTCTTTGTGTGTAGCCCAGAAATGAAAAGACCGATTTTGCATCATAATCACCAGCTTCACAATAGTCCCCACTTTGAAAAGAGGCAACAGGAATGTGGAAGCTTGAGTAGAGCCGTATGCCACCAAACAATCAGCCTTTTCACCGTGTAATTCAAAGTGTGCAGAGCATGCTTTGCCACAAACCGAGAATTTGCGGTTTGGCAGGTGGCCTTCGTGGCCAAGCGAGGCTGGAATTCTTGGAGTCAGCTTTCAGAAAGAAATTCCTGCCGAGAAGGGGTTTTAAGAACACTACGAAAAAAGGGTCTTATACTTCAAGAGTGTACTCAATTATACTGCTGGATTTTTATTTTGAAAGATGAAGAGTTGGCAGTTAAAAAGTGTTTACAATAAGCAAGTATAAACATATAACATAAGAAAATCCAATTAAGCACATGTTTACGGGTGAAATGTTGTTATTCACTCCAGAACGTACTTTGAAAGTGTTTTGCACAGAACCTGGAGATTCAAAAGGTGTTCACATACTGGACGTGAATGGATTTCTGACTTTTTTTTTTTTACACAATATTTCATGACTTGGGTAAGAACTGCGGTCGACAGTTTTTCCCACATGCAGATGTTTCTTTAGCGGCTTTCTTCAGA